GGCAGTCCAAGTACCCCAGGGCCCATGGGAAAGTGAGACCTAAAGCATATCTTGGAATGTATCTTCCATCAGAACAACTACATCCCTTCCAGTGGCTTGGGAGTAGCCTGCAAAGGACTCAGCTGTCACTCCTGTATCTCTGTTGTGTTCCCTGGATTTGGGCTGAGAAATATTTCTCAGTCTCCATGACATTCTCCCAAAAGGTGGCAAAAAATAGACTCCAGCAATAAAAAGATTTAGATGCTGTTACCAGCCCCAAATGGACTTCGGCCCAGGTGACAAAACTGTTGGTCCTATTTATTCCACTGTGGCCCTTACTCCTCCCCTGTGTAAGGACCACCAGATTTGGCGGGGAAGCCCTTGCCAGATCCCTGTCAAATATCGCTTGTATTAGACACACTGTTAATCACTGCTATAATCCTTTCTGAACGTTCCATTAAATATTTCCAGCAGGTCTTGTTCTTGCCAAAAGTCCCTCCTTTTTACTGTCACAGATCAAATCAGCACCAGTTTCAAGGACACAGAGTTAAGATAATGCTGAGAACCTAGATTATGATGTTTTAAGGACTTCTAATTTGGCCTGGTTCAACAGATTTCTGGGTAGAAAATACAATAGCTAAAAGCAGAAACAGAACTAATTACTTATTGCAGAATTAATAAGTTGTGGCATAGTCTGTGAGTCATTTCCTTGCTGAACCAATTTTATTTTCACTCATCAAATTTGCTTAGGGAGTAATTATCTTGGAAGACAGGAGTAGGCAGGGAGGTTTTTTCCCAGACCAAATTTAAAGAGACATTAATATCTTGTAAGACCACATCCCAGATGATTCACTGATAGCTTATTACAAGCATTTACAGAATGGAGTTTGTGTAACACCACCATTGCTAACAAACTACATCATGACAGAGGAAAAGAAAAACAGAAAATATTTATTGACATAGTATGTGTGTTGTATAATATCTTAATATAGCAAAGGTTTGCATTTATTTTCCCAAATAAGTTGTCTTTTTTGCACAGTTAAAAATATTATAAAAACACATTTTTTGAAGTTCACTGTCAGTCTTTAGAAAGTTAGGAACATTAAAGAATCACCAAATCTACCTCTGGAGGTTTTTAACCTAGGTGTTTTCTCACACTTGGAGCAAAACACTGGTGCAACAGGGACTCAAATACACTTCCAAATCCTTTAAGATTAGTGCACAATTTTAAGCTTATAATTTAACAATACTCTTTTTTTTGGTTCTTTTTTCCCATCATTCATTCTTTAATCCAGGAATTTGTAGATGGAAGTATCTGCAGTATTCCATGCTCTAAAATTAGAAGCAGTTGATAAAATTTCCACAAAGATACCAAACACAAACAGAAGGTGAAGGTATTTGAAAGAAATTTATTGGCTAGAATTTGTGGGTACATGCATAAAATGGAGCTAACATTTAAATGCTCTAAGTCTGAGGTTTTTTTGGTTGCGGGGTTTTGTGATTTGTTTGGGTTTTTTTTCCCAATGGGGAACAGCCGTTACAGGAATCCCAATGAAATGTCAGGTTTAAGAAACTTTCAAGTGACAGAAACTCCCTTCCCTCACTATACTCTTGGTGACCCAGTGCTCTGGCAGGTTCATGCTGCCAAGCATTTTGGCCAGAACACGGGTCTGTTGCTTCCCAAGGACCCTGACCAAGCACAGGCATAATCCTATGATTTTGGGCAGTGATTGCAAATCGGGCTCAAGCCCCCTGCCTGCTAGTGGTCCATGCTAGAACCTGAGCCTCTCACAGCCCCTTCCTTGGTGCTGTTGGTTGGGAAGAACAGCCTCATCTTTAACAGCAAAAGGAGATTGTTCATGTAACTTGCTGTTTTTACATCTTGATTTATACTGTTATGCCTTTACCAGCTGCCTACTCTTCCTTACTCCCTCTGCTACCTCACACCCATTTAATCTGTTACTTTTCACACTTTTTTTATCCCTTCCATATCACCTCCATCTTCCTGGTCTTCAGTACCACCTACTTCTCTTGCTCTTTCTTTCTGCATTAATTCCTATCTGCTGCCAGGTCATCCCTTATCAGCAGAATAGGAGGTACTCCCCAGCTGCTCCTCTCCTCCACATGTAGAGGAAATATTTTTTTACTTAAGCCATAATCTGTGCTGATTCATACTCCATAAAGACTCATAAATCTGCAAAATTTGGATGGTAAATTATAAACTGAGTCAAGGAGTTTCTTTAAGCAATTTTTAAACCCTCGGGTACTTTATACTTTGCATAACAGAAATAATTTTGCTATCTAACATTGTGCTTTCCTTTTATTAAGATAATACAAACTTCAGTTTAATTTTTCACATTGCAGATACGACTTCCATCATATGTCTCAGAGCACCAGTCAACGCATGCACAAATGCCTTCCAGAAGCTGGTCTGGGCACATTAACAGTTTGTACATGAGGTTTATCTTCGGCCCAGGAGAAATTTACTGGTTAACTCTGCAAGTTGCCAGAAGCCCCCCAGCAGAAAAGGGATTTGACTGAGTTTCTTTTTAGCTAATGCCATGAAAAGAGTTAGAAAAAGACCTACTCAAGCAACTCTTATGGAAAAGCATTAGTACTGATGAAAACAAATGTTATATAGGCCAGTTCTTGAACGAGGGAAAAATCCTGTGGGGAAACATCACAACCACTCTGTCCCCTTCTGGGCTGGGAACCAAGCTTTGATGCTGGTGTCCTAGACAACAGCAGATCTGATCTGCTAAGAATAGCCCCTCCATGTATTTTCTCATTGGTAACTAGACAGAGACTGCAGGTTTTTTAAGGAAATCTGAGATGATCATGGCTCACATATTCTTGTCCCATTTGCAGTGGCTGCTACCAAGAACTCCACACAGACATTGACTTCCTGGGGTTCTGTGTAAGTACTCGATTCACGAACTATTTCGGAAATCCCTGTAGCAGTCACAATGCCTCCATAAAGCATTTCCCTCTTGGTTAGGCCAGGTAGCAGAACTGAAATGTTGCCTGGTATGCAGATACAACAGGAACAACATTTTGTCCATGTCTTCTTGTGCCTGCATTCCCTTGCCTGAAGGCACTGACATAGTCAAAACAGCACATGCTTTACAAGCCCATGTATTTGCCTGTGTTTGTGCATGTGCACTCAGACAGAGGCTTGAATACAGACACAGACTGTTTATTTTTTATGTTGCTCTGGCCAGCCTCTTTAATAAAATGAGGCACTGAGCAGCTAATATTTATCCTCTGAGGACAAACATTTGTTGTCAGCCTGGTATGAGAACTTCAGGTTGTGTCTGAGGTATTTACCATGGATGATTATTATAAGACAATTTGAAAGCTGACATCAACATTTTTCATTCTTATCTTGTCCCTGATTCCCAAACTAATAAAGAAATATTTCTGCTCCCAAGGAGTACACCCAAATAAGACTCACCAAAACACAGAATTTACTAAGCTACCTTATCAGTTTTGGACCCAAATCAACAATGTAACAAAATCCATGAACCTAGGTTGACTCATATTGGATTAACAATGTGGTACCTTATTTGTCACAGTGACTATGGAAGAAGGCACTTAAGAGACACACTACAGAGCCAACTAATGAATATTGTAGGCCCATTGCATAGAGCAAAAGTATTAAACATTGGACTGAAATGATTTAAAATGACAGTCAGTGAGGCCATATGTCTTCATAGAGATAACAACAATAGAAAGAATTAATCTTAAAATCTTAGACATTAATTTCTAAACTTTAAAAATTATTATTAGTTTTCTGCAAACAAATACAAAATTATTTAAAAAAAAAAGAAAAAAGTTAAGTGTTCCTTCTAAAGGCTGACTTTAAAAGAAATAGCTTCTTTTAAAGTGAGATCTCTTCCAAATAACAAAATATTGTTAGAGTTATGGTATGGAAGCAGGTCTTAAGTTTTTATGCTTTGGAACTAATATGACAAAGTTGCCTGCATATTCAAAGTGTCAGGCTTTATACTTTCAATCACCTACAAAAAAAGTGGCTTATTAAAAATTATCTTATTTCATTAAAAAAACATTACAAGTATATTTTAAAGATACCAACAAACAAATAGTATATTAAAATCTTGTTATTTTTTTTTCTTCTGCACAGGAGGAAAATGCATTTTGGTCAGCAGAAACTTATAATCATAAAATTGAAATATTGTGGTGGTGAATAATCTTAAAGTATTGAAATCCAAAGGATATGATCAGAAATACACAGTATAATTTTATGTTATTAGATTGTCACACCATAACAATCCTGTGTACTTGAAAGTCATGATATAAAAGATATAGACTTCTGTAGCAATCAACAACAATTTCTAAAACGGTGATTTGTGTTTAAAGGTGTGTGAAAGTCAAGCTCACTTTGTGGTTTCATTAAATATATGGTTCAGCAAACATATTGAACGAAATTATTTGCTAACTACTGCTGCTGCTACCTAACAAGATATTTGTTATAATGTACAGGACAGTTCTTCTACCATTCAGAAGGTCATATAACTTAGCTGGGAGAATTTTTTTCTTTAACCTTATAACTCAGGTTGAGGTGGAGTCTGAATATGACATGATTAAAACTACCCAGTTTGCAGAAACTAAAAGACTGCTTTCCAGCTCCCAGTCTAACCCACACCATCCTACCTATGAAGCTGAACTCATATTAAAGTATTTTATAAAAACTGCTAAAACTGTTAGCACCCAAAAAATCCATCACCTGTGGAGCTCTAAATGATTGTCAAGTAGCCACTTCAGAAGTCAGTGACTTTTCCCAGTGGCAAAGCTAAACATTTGCCTAGAAACTAAACCCACAGCTCTCCAAACTCTAATTCGAATATAAATGCATATGCTTAAGACTTCTATAGCTTCTAAAAGGAGATTTAAAAGCATTAAATTATATCCTGACATTTTTCCTTCTTCTTCCAAACATGCAAACTTTTATGTTTATTAATTTCTCGCCACTGTTTATAATGAGCAATGAAGTGAACCCTCAGCTACAGAAGTTTGGGATTTCCATGGAATTGCTCCTGCAGCAACCAGAGGATGAAGTTTCCCAAACAAACAAGCATGAACTAGATTGCTGCTTCCCAACATGGAGCTGTGGTCTTTAGAAAATGCCAAAACAATGGCTTGGTCTCATGCAGTTCTCTGGATCATTCTGCACATATGGTAATGTGCTGTACGTACAGATTGCATTTGAAGAATTGGAACAGAACCCTGAGAAAAGCAAATCCATTGGAAAAAATAGATATTGTTTAATAATGCCAGTTTGAGATGTTTCAATCCTTCCCTTTGGAAAAAAAAAAAATGACAAGCAGGTGTAGTAATTTTTTTTTCTGATGTGAATGATTGGAATTTATCAGAATTCCAAACATAAATACAGTTTGGGATTTTAAGTGCATATCTAGGGTTGATTACAACTAGAAATATTTTGTTTGACAATTCTACCCATCCCCCAGCAATTCAGCGTTCCTCAAGTCACCATAACATTACTTGTGAGCTTTGAGTTCAAAAACATCCTGACATGGAGGGATGTTCTTCCAGTAACTGCTGCAGTAGACATTCATTCTGTAGTAATACGGGTGCTAGCGAGTCAGGCTCAGCTCTCTTCAGCCTTGCGTGCAGTTCTCATCATTCCCATGTATCCAGAAACAAATTTGGGCATATTTGAGAGGAGTAATTCTTACTGCTACATTGTAATCCTGCTGTTCACCATTGACGTCCACCCACTGATGGCCTGAGTAAACAGCGATGATCTTACGTTTCCATTTCTTTTTGTTGGGTTCCTTAAGGCGGAGATAGATGCCAGATCCAGTGGAGCCGGGCTCAGCATCACAATACTGATAAAAGAGATCACTGGACTCATCAGAAATGCTACAAAATCTATAGACCAGCTGCCCAGATCGATCATTGTCAAAACCTGAGAAATGGATCATGCTTCTGGGCATCATTTTGATTGTTGGGCTGATTCCCAGCTCCATGTATTTTCTTTTGTGGGGACGCTTGAGCTCAAGAACAGCATAATCATAATCCAGGGCAATATCCCCAGAAACACCCTTAAACCAGCCTTTAGGGATGTGGGTACTCTTCACCCTGGTCCACTGAAAGGAGGGCATGCTGTCTGAGGTCCCCTGCTTCCTCCCAGATCTCCTCTGCTTTCTCCTGCCACCTTTGGATTGTCGCCTTAGCTCTGCGGCAACTTCAGGATCTTCTTGGGCTGCAGAAACTTCTCTCCTACTCCTTCTAGCACCTTTGCGTTTCCTGCCATCACCTCTGGATTTCGTCTTCATCAGGCCCACCCTCAGTCTTTTGCTGCCCTTAACATAATCCTTGCCATTGTGCAGACAGTGGGCAGCTGTTAGCACGTGCTTGGGGGAAATGAGAATACCACTGCAGCCGGTGGAAATCTTCACAGCTGTGTTGAACGGAAAGTTGGTCATAAACCGCTTGTCATAGATGCTGAACCTACTGTCGGTCCCATAGATCTGCCTCTTCTTTCTCGGAGCCCTTCGTGTGGTGGTGTTTCCAGCTGGGTCAAGCGCTAGTCCGAGGACGTTCACTTCAGTCAGGGTCCGTGTGCCGTTTTCAAAAACAGTCTCATAGGATAGGAGATCCTTCAAGTCAGACAAGCTTGGCACCGGCAATTTTCTTTGACACTCAATTCCACATACACTGTTCAGTTCCAAGTTGGTTTTCGCTTCAAATTTAGGGGTCTCAAGGGAGAAAGTTCTTTCGCTCACAATCTGGGGAATCTTCTTTAAGTGCCAAGTAAAATCTTGTTCAGTTTCTGTTCCATTAGTGAGACCCAATATAGGTATGAAAAGTATGAACAGCAGTAACATGTGCTCCATTTTATCTATTTCCTTTTGTTGTTTGTTTTCTAAAACAAGAAAGAGAGATTTGAAAATACGTTTTGGTAATATACACAGTTATCTTAGTATTTTCAAAGTACAATCATGCAGTATTAGCACTGACACCAGTGGAACAGAATTTAACACTGCTCAGAATGGAAAGGCCTCAGATATTCCCTGTGTTACTTCTGGTGCTTCCAGTGGTCTCTAGCAAGATGGGTGCAGATGAGCCGGCCAGCATCCATGCTGAGCTAACTACTAAAAGCTGGAAACAGGTGACTTTTACCTGCTTTTCCCTAGTGGGGCAGTAGTCTGAGTCATTCTACTCTGTACAGCACCCTGGTTTTATTTATCCCATAGGAATGCGATTATGTTTTATACTACTACTTTTCTTCTCTATAGCTACAGGCTGTAGGTAGAACATGGTTGAAAAACCACCAATGTATTCAAAGGACACATTCAGAATTTGGGATTCAGCAGAGATGGATAGACTACACTCATGAGACTTAGGAACCCACAGGAAATCAGACCAGTTGTGCTCTTTTATGTAATAGCCAGAAAGCAGCACCTTTAAGTGATCTAAGTCACCAACAGTTCTTCATTATCCACCCAGCTAAGACCTGTGAAGCTGCCTGCTATGGAAAATGGCACTTAGTTAATTGCTATCCCAAAGAATCAACTTAGAAACATCTCCTTTCCACATTCAAAGTTTATGTCATCTGGTTGTGAGCAATTTGGATATCTAAACAAGGTGGCATCCACATTTTAGATGCTTTCAGCTTCTGCTGCTCAGAAAGGCAGGGCTCTCCTGCAGATGCTATGTTGTATCTCCCTGGTCACCAAAACCTCATTAATCTCCCATGCATGGGTATCTCAATCTCTCTCAGAATGTCTGAGAATTTCTAATTCCAAGGCTGGAGGAGACAGATGAGTGAGAAGAGTAGAAGTTTGCTGGTCTAGAGGAGTATCCGGGTTATATACATGCAGGAAAGCCCAGCAATCACATGCCTTTTTCCTGTAGGATCCCACAAAGGCTGCAGGAATTGTGTCGTCTGTGCCTTATGGTCACATGTGGAAAGCCACACCTAAATGGGGTGATGGAACACACAGTGTTAATATTTCAAATGGAAAAGACAAAAAGCAGTATTATTCCCATCTGTAGTTGGAAATATGCAGAAATAATGTAAAATTGCTAGAAGCCTGTGGCAGAGCCAGAAACTGAACCCAGGAGTCTTGATTCTGAGCTCAAAACACTGCTGAAAAGAGCATTTTTGTCCTTTGGCAGCAGTGATGTCAGTGGCATTAATCAAATACTGGCTGCTGCCATTGGGGAAGCTGCACTCTGTTCTCATATCCTTCGTTCCAATTATATGGAAACCTCAGCTGTGCAGAAAGAAAGAACCTATGATTAAACTTTTAAAGCCAAGCAATTCAAGGATATGTATGTGGTTAAGCTTTCTGGTTTACATTGTAATTGCAGTGTAAACCAGGGCAAAGATAACCAGTTTCCTTTTGTTGAATTTAGTTTAGAACGAGCACTGCTATCCAGTGAAACAGCCTGGTACAAGCTAGCTAAAGATCTAGCATGGAAAATAGAGGGGAGTGCAACATGGAAAAAGAAGCAGTAACATCACTTTAAAAGCTGTATAATGGACCAATGACTCATGTAATTTTGAGGCATCTCTACCATATAGACATAGTTCTGTCTATAAGAAGTAATAATTATCACTTTTTAGCTAACTAAGCACTATGGTTCAAACAGAGCTTGCTGCTTCTGATGACAGATTCAGAGGGTGGCATTTTTTTAGCACAGATTTCGGTGCTTTTGACCTCCGTCAGCATGGAGCACCATCTCTGACCCAGAGTTTATTTAGTAGGATATACCTAAACAACATTTTACAATACAGTCTAAAGCTTCCCACTCTGTCTTTAAAGTAGCCAACTCAGGTTTTGGAGAAGATGTGTGGGCTTTCATAAGACATCTGGAGATTATAGTGACTCACAGACCCAAGCTCTGGGGTGTATGCAGTCATACTAAAAGATATCGGAAAGTTTTGAAAGCAGAGCAGGGTCATCCCAGGTGCCAGATACAGCGGAGGGACACCAGCTGACCATCAGTCCAGATTACTGGTAGGGCAGAAACGCACATTTTTAAACATCTTCTTTTATATACAAAGTTTCTGACCAAATGTCCACTTCTCCCAAAATCCCATTTCTGACACTGGCTAAATGTGGATGCCTAGGGTACAATACACAAATAGGTATGCATGCCCCTCCCCCATCATAGGATCCTAGCTTACAAACAGTTGCACCTCATGAACTTTAAACCAGAGGTAGTTTCTGCAGTGTGAGGAAACCTCAGTGGATTTCTCTTCCATAGTCGCTCAGTCTTCCTTTGAACCCATACAAAATTTTGTACCCACAATGTTCTGTGCCAAGGAATTCCCAGCTTAACCACATGTTGTATGAGGAAGCATCACCTTTCTTTTATTTTCAGCCTGTCACAAGGTAGTACGGTTTGATGATAAATAAAGTGATGTTGTTATGTGATATGGTTTAATTTGCTTTGCTCTAACATAGCTGTTGAACAGGTACAAGATATTAAGAAACCCAATTCTTCTGTCAGGCTCCAGAATGCCTTTTCTATGTTCTTTCCTAGAATACTCCTCCCTTTCTCAGCCATTCCTCATGGTCTGTGTATTTGACATTCCTCTGTAGCTGAATTTTGTGAGCCCTAAGGAAAGTTCATTCACTAACTGCTACTTCATATAGAAAGTCTTAGAGGTGTCCAGGTTGATGACATTTCACTGCGAGGCTGAAGACTTCCCAGCTGGACCCATAACTAACATCACTTTATAGAAAGCCTTTCTGTAAGCAAATGGGTGTACTACTATGGCTCCCTTCTGCCACTCCTTAGAGAGCAAAAAAACCCCACCAAAATACAGAAGCATCAGTAGATGCATTGGAGCTTCCAATTTGAAATACTAAACTCAAGTGCTCACTACTTACAAAGGCAGTCTTGGATCCCAGGATTTTCATAATTTATAATGACTCACTTGTTATTCATAATGAGCTAACTACAATTCAGCAGAGCTGAAGAAGTCCAAGCTGAGGAACTTGATAAAAATGGTAATTCTCATTACCGACTAGAGCAGTGATCCTAGCAGGCAGCACCATCATTTACAGCCATGTGCCTAAGATCTGTTTACTAACCTGATCTCTACTGTTCAAGCAAGGCCAGCTTCAAGCACAGGCAGCATCAGTGGCTGCCATGGCCTGGTACAGGTAGCCAGCAAGGGGAGAACACAGGGGTTCTTTCTGCCAGAAGATGGGGATAGAAATGTGGATTTCTGCAAAGACAACTTTGCAGGATGAAACAAGGGGAGAGAGGATACAGCCTCCAGAGGAAGGAGCCCTGAGAAGGCTACAAGCTGGATGGAAGAAAAACCCCTCAACATGTTGCTCACACTTTCGGCCACGCTGTTCTCCACTCTTCCTCCAAACCCCAAGCTGCTCTGCCTTCTCCTTTCCCATACAAATTTTGGGTTGGCTTACAGTAATCAGAAGCCTGGAGTCAGCTTTGTCTTTACAGTAGGATGAATTGATTCAGAGAAGACAGAAGATGGAAAATAGAAAGCAAGAGAGAGATTCCCAGGTCCATGAAAATGTTGAAATTCCCCCTTCAGTTTTCAAACCCAGCTGATAACAGTGAAGACTCCCTGTTTGATGGCATTCCAGCTGCCAGGCATATGCATGCAATTAAAAGTGCTTTCAGTTCTCACTTGCTTCCAACATAAAATCTTTCTGTATTCACAGGACAAAACCTACCCGTGTCCTAACTTTTCAGGATATCCTTCAAATATTTTTCAGTATAACCTGTCGTACTTCAGTAAAATGCATCTCAAATGCTCAGGGGAAGGCTTGTGGTCAAGCAGAACTAGAATACCTTTCTCTTCAGAGTACCCCAGAATGAATTTACTTGTCAGTGTAGCTCAGACAGAAGAAAAAGTTGTCTCCAGCCACCTGGCAGTATTTTATCATGGTCTGTTCGGCGTAGCCTCTGCTCTGGGGATTCCTTCTTACTGTAGGAAAGTCAGCACATTTCAAACTAAGCTTCTAAATACAATTTTCAGACCATAAAATATTAGAGGCTGTTACACTAACCAGCTCCATTAACTGCTTTTGGTCTTATTCTTGAAATGGCCTGAAAGCTGGAATTCACAGCTCTACTCTGACAAAGCAAAACAGAGAACAAATTTTGGAAATCTCACGCTCCCTTGGAAGAAACCATCACCCTAACCTTAGCCACCACTGCCCCCTTCACTCCTCCGGGTGTGCTCACTCTGTCGGTGCATAGATCTAGTCCTACACTCTCACTTAAGGAGAAACCCCCACTGCGACTCCTGGCTCCGACAGCATTTCAGCGGGTTCAGTAGCACAAGAAGAACTGATTTTAGACGGCAGGCGTGACAGCCTGTTTCTGAGATCGCACACGCAGGAGGAAACAAGGAAAGTGGGGATGAACGGCAAGGGGACCGGGGCTTCTACACCTCTGCCGGCTCCCGGCTCCCGCCGGCCCCGTCGCGGCCGCGGGGTGGCGCGCCCGGACAGCCACCGGCCCCTCCGCGCCCTCCGTCTGCCGCCTCCTGTCCCCCGTCCCTGGCCGGCCCCGCCGCAGCCCCCGCTCCTCCAGCCCTGCCGCGCCTGCCGCTTCTCCCGCTCCTCCGGGTCGCGGGGCGGCAGAGAAGGGAGTTCGCTTCCCGGCCGCTGCTCCGCCGCTAAGCTGCTCAGGGGGTCGAGCCCTGCCCAGCAGGCTCGGCCCCGGCGGCGGTCCCCGGGTCGGGATCGAGGGATCACCGGTCTGGAAGGAGCGGGAGGAACGAAGGGGACGGGAGGGTTTGCTGGGACGGTCGCTTTCTACAGCCCGCGCCGCTTCTGTCGGCGGCTTCTATACATTAGCATGTTAAAGCCAAAGGGTTAGCCGAGGGTTTGGGAAAGGAGGCTTTTAACTCTAGTTAGCCATACCCTGGTCCTGCTTTCCGCGGAAGCTCTGCTTTTCCGCGTTTAATCCAGAGGGGTTCCCTTTCTCCAGAGCCTGCAAGTTAAATACCCCGCCACAACTTTTTTTATCTGCCATTCCAAGATAACTCTGCTGCCAGCAGCGACGAATCTGGATGAAGTTAGTGTCAATTCCAGAAAAACGCGGGGATGGTAGCGCGAATACTGAGGGGATGAATCAGAATTAAAGGGGAGTTTGTTTTGAAGGGTGAAGAGGCTCCTTGCCTGCTCCCCGCGGAAGACACGGCACGGGCACATCCGTAAAAGCCCAATAAATACACCCCTTGCTTCCCTCCCGTTAGCTGTCTGGTGAAACCAGCTTCGAATAATAAAACAAGAAAAGGTGAGGGAAGGGTAAAGAAACTTGTCACGTTTTAGTCCGATCAAAAGTGCATCTATCAGGCTAAAGAGGCAGGAGCTTTAAACAGAACCCTCCAGCTGCCAAGCCCAAGGTACTGACATTGCTCAGCCCCTTCATTTTTTTAAACGATCCGTGTAGGGAGAACGACTTCGAGAAAAAAGGTTAGCGAAAAAAGTTCTCCTCTACGGACGTTACCTCTGGCTGTCCGATCCCCGACCCCGGGCAGCCCCCCTCAGCCCCAGCCCCAACCGCAGATACCAGCCGGCTCACCCAGCGCTGCCCCTATCAGGTCTCCCGGGGCAGCCCCTTCCCCCGCGGCCGGAGTCGGGGAGGGTTGCTTTCATACCTGGCACCCAGCAGGACGATCAGAGGAGAAGGCGGACACGGTCCCGGGGCGCAGGCTCCCCGCTCCGCTCCGTGTCGCCCGCCGTTCAGCGCCCGCGGCTACTGAGGACGGGGCGGAGGAAGCGGCCAGGTCTTCCCAGGCGGGGGAGGGGATGGAAAAAGGGGGGAAAAAAAGGAAAAGGAGGCGAGAAGGAGGAGGGCTAGAGGGGGAGGGCTGAGAGGAGCGGA